ATCTCCTTAGAAGACCCTTATCAATAAAGATCTAACTTATTTCTGCTTCAAGATTTTTTACTATGTGAATTATTTGTTGTTGCTCTCATAGCAAAAAACATATGGATAACATTTGGCACATCCAAATTTTAAAGTGATAAAAGGACAACGATATCAACAAGTGCAATCTAATGACAAGATTTTCTTTCAGTAATCTGAAAGTATGAGAAAAATAATCTTAATTATTTATGTAGACAATATAATTCTAATAGGTGATGTTACATGAGAAATGAAGAGACTGAAAAAATTTGAACCAATACATTTAAAATTAAGGCCCAACAATACAATGCAATATCTCTTAACGACGTAGGTTCCCAGATCAAGGAATGGAATAAGTACTTCTAAATGGAAATACATATACGACCTCTTGATTGAAACCAGTTGATGTTATGCACATATATATATTGAGGCAAGGAAGAAGATAAAAGAAGGGAAAAGTAGTTGAAATAGGAAAATATTAAAGATTAGTTGGTAAACTAATCTATTTATTACATACTCGACTAGATATTGCATTTGCAGTCGATGTAGTTAGTCGACATACGCACTCACTATTATAAATTCACTTAAATGTTGTCTACAAGATTCTCAGATAGTTTAGAGACTTTTTAAGAAATGAGTTATTCTTTAAGAAGAGTAAAAACTAAGGGAATAGAAACATTTATAGATGTGGATTGGGTACGTTTAACAAAAAATAAAAGATCTATTACTATATATTACATATTTGTCTCGTGGAACTTGATCACATTAAGGAGTAAGAAATAAAATATAATAGCAAAAGTAGTGTTGAAGCGGAATTCAAAGTAGTGGCACAAAGAATTTGTGAAGGATAATAGCTAAAAAAACTTTTGGATGAGTTACCAATAAAACCCTACTATAACAACATGATAATCCAAATATGTGAAAATTGATCTATAGAAGAATGTATTATCTGAATGGTATATGTGTCTAGCAAAATCCAAATTGCGAATATCCTCACCAAAGGTCTTCTTTAAGAAAGTTTTGAAAAATTTCTTCACAAATTAGATATGATTGACATCTACAATCTAACGTGAGAAGAATGGTGGAAATCACATATGTTTGGGGAATAATAATTGGCATTTAATCGCAAAAAATTATTATGAAAGTCTCGGATACTATGAGATTACAATTGACTTTTAATAGCAGAAATCAGTTATTGATTTCACTAATTAATTAGGTGTATATTTTGTAACTAATTAGGTGTAGTGAATTATTTGATTTATTTCTTCTTTTTTGGTACTCTTATACTATGTAATGAGAGAGAGTTGTACAATTCTATAATAACAAAAAAATTACATATTTCAATTATGTTTTCACATACTAATTACATTCATTTGATTTGAATGTAATTTAGATATTTGAGATAATAAATCTTTTAATAGAATTAAAAATTTGAATAAATGAGTGTCACCACACATTAAAATTCAACCTGATTGCACGCGTGCATGCATGTGTACAACATGCAACACGTTTCTTCCCAATTCGAATCATAAATAGGTTTTTCCTCCAGATATTAATTCAATTTATCTTTGAATTATATATCTATATATTATATATAATGATTTAAACGGAGACCCAATAATGTGTAAACGCATATATATATATATATATATATATAAATTGAATTGAACAATTACTTTTTTGAGTTATCTTAGACAATAATCTAACAAAATGTTTTTTGTATTGCATGCTAAGGTGCAAGTTATAAGTTTAAGTAGCTAATTGAAAAGAGTTACATAAACATATACCTACATAGATATATATATATATATATATATCAAAATATAAAGCCGTTACGTATGCATGCATATATATATATATATATATATAGATGTGATCCAGAAATTATCTTCAACCAAACGAAGTTTATTTAATAATTTATGTGTCAGTTTAATACCGTCAAGTACAAAGTTAACATAATTATTGAATTATAACTAATCAATTATTGATCCCCGGTTCCTGGAAAATTAATGTGTGGTTATAAATTGAACATGGTCATAAGGTAAGGCATGGTCCAATTAAATATAATATATATATATATATATATATATATATTAGTTACTAATGTTGTTAAATGGTAATTGTAAAAAGGGGAAATAATTATAAGCAATTACTTACAGAGGGATTCTTAATTTATGCTTAATTAATGAAGTGATGATTAATTATTACAGGATACTGTTGGGTATTGGAATTTGGGGAGCCATTGAGAATGGTGGGTAGAAATAAACAGAAATTTTAAAAGTAATAATAATTATAAGTTCTGGAATTAATGGAAAAAGGAGATTATAAAGGTAAGGAGCTTTTCTTTTTTCTTTCTCTTCCTCTCTCTCTCTCTCTGCAAAAAGTCAAATAGAGCCTCTTTCATCAATCATAATGATATCTTCACCGGCGGTGCAGAGGAAGAGATTGCACCCAAGATTCATCATCATTGCTCTTGATTTTTTATTATGGTAATATTCATACTTTTCAAGATAATTAAAACCCTAGCAAAAAAATATAAAAGAAACCCTAGAAAGTGATAGATATATTCATATCACCTCATCATCTCTTGTCTGATTTTTTTAAGTTTTTGAAAATTTAAAATTTTAATGATTTAGAAGCTGTTCTTTTTGAGATATTGCTTATAATTATTTTTACATGTGGGGCAAATGATAAAAATTTTTACTTGTGAGATTTTGGGTGATGATCTATTATTGTGTACTCATCTCTTTCTTTATTGTTTGATTCCATAAAAAAGTTCATAGAGATTTTTTTTCATACGCCTTTGGGAAAAAAATAAAACGCCTTCAACAGCAAAACTCCACTCACTTCTTCAAGTTTCCCAATTGCTAGCTTCTAAGGTCAAGTAGAAATATTCTTTTGGCACAGTGTACATATACGTATATATATATATATATATATATGTAAAACTTTTCTTTGTTCATACTAATTAACGTGATAATAGCTGTCATGTAGGCTGAATATTAGTTGAGTTACTAAGTATTAAAAAAAATTGAGTTTGACTTTTAAGAATGATAATTTAGGTTTAAAAATGCTAAACCTAATTCAAAGTGTTACAATTGTTCTTAGAGTAAATGGCAGTTCAATAGTGAAAATATAATACTTTGTAACTTTGGGAGGATATGAAAGTTTCTAAGTTGTGTTGGAGATCCAAATATATTTAAGCTGAGTTTTTGAATCTTTTGTAAATCATTTCTTTGTTGATATGATAAAGATCATATCCAAAAACTTAATTTTTTGGATGGGAATCATTTGAATTCATGAAAATTTATTAAGCTAATAGTACTTGAAATTAGGAGATTACAATATTTTTGTCGTTACATTTAATTCTACATTAATAAAGTGTAAAGATATATAGCAGTTTATGTATATGTTGAGCAACTTTTTTAAACACTATTATGAGTCATAATCTAACATGGTATGAAATAATTCTATTTCATAGTTTGGTCGAGTTTGATCTTATATAATATTCTGTTGATAATTTGTTTTCTATCTTGTAACTGATCAAAGTATATTCTTTATGTAAGCGACTCGTGAATATACTTTAGGTGAATGATCTATATTAATTTATGTACCTTATAAGTAATTTATCTTAATATTTTATGGTTTATTCTAACTTATATATTTGTTAAATAGTTCTTTTTACTACTTATAATTTTTTATTAGAATTAACTTTAATAAAGACTTTAATATTGTTTATGAAAAAATCACTCTCTCCATAATTTGTGCATTAATTTTTTTTTTCTGTTAATTCATCTATTATGGTATAAAAATGTCTAAATGCTTCTAGAGTAATATCATTTATTTATGATATGGTCACATGTTTTCTTTTTGTTAAATTACAATAGATTTTTATTTGAAAAAAAAAAGAAAAAAAAGAAAAGTCAATGACATAATAAGGGTTTGTTTTTAGTTGATAAATATACAATAATTCAATATTGTATAATAGAAGAGTTTCTAAAGATAACAACTAGTTAAATTTAAGGCAAGTTTTATAAAATTTAACGATAGTTTAATCAAATTGTCGTTGGAATTTAACTTGATATAATTCTAAATGATATATAACTATATTATATTAGGTATAAAAATGAAATAAAAAATATTTTATATATTATACGATGATGCAAATAAAATTTCTTTTTACTTTTAAACCTGAATACTCTGAATTTGATAGAAAATTACCCCCAACTTCTTGGATGGATTATCACATATTAGTTTGATTTCTTAACCATTCTAAAGTGATTCCATTTGGAAGTTCATCACCTATTGCATTTTGTATACAAAGAAGTATTTTTCATATGAGAAATATTATTGATAGTCTATAGAGCAGCTACAGTAAAGCACGTGTACTGTTGATACACTTATAGTTCATTTTTCCTAGTTTTTTTGGTTTTTTGTGGACCTTTTCCTTTATTTTTATCATATTTCTTTTGTTTATTCTAAAGCATATATATATATATATATATATATATATATATGAAAAGGAAAAATAAAAAAGAAAAGACTTTTTTATTAATATATTAGGTCCCATTTCGTTATCATTTTGATATGGATGTTTATTTTTTAAAAAATATTTTTATAACTAAATAAATAAAATTTAAAATATTTTTAATAAAAACTAAAGTTAAAATATGCTTTTATCAGATTAAGTACAAATATCACAATTTGTAGTTTTTAAAATATAGTTTTTGCTTTTACTAAAAATTCATCCTTAATATTAAAAGTTATTTTTATCAGAAGCATAATTTGTACTTTTTTAAATATTATTGTTTATAATTATTATCTTAAATACTGAATAAATTTTAAACAAAAATAATTTTAATAAACAATTATTTTAACAACATATTAAAATTTTAGCACAAATTTCTGAAATTTCAAAATCCGACAAAGTCATTATCTTTTGAACAGATGAAAGAAAGAGAGGAAGTGGAGGCTGAAAGGGAAAGTGGTTGGCTTACAGGTATAGTTTCGCTTACTTTTTTGTTTTATTTCCTAGAAAAATTCTCTTCACACTCACAAATATTATATATATATATATGTATGGAAGAGTTTATTTTGGGTATAAAAGGAAACTAAGCTGCATTATTCGCGATGGTGCAGAGAGTGAGTAGGTAACAAGAGAGAGATGTCGTCGTGCTCCCAAGGCATGGTTAGGCAGGGATTATTAGAGGAGGAAGCTTTCTTTTCTTTTCCACCTCAAAACCTAACTTTTCCTCCATTAACACCCTCTCACCAATCTCTCAACACCTCCTTCACTTTACCAATTCTCTCTAATCCTCAAACCCTACTCTCTTCCTCTCCGAAGCATACACAACGTCTCCTTTCCTTGCAAAGATCTACTGCAAATCTCACCTGGTAATTCAACTTACAAACTTCTATATATATATATATATAAATTGTTCTTCTCTTTTTTTCTTTTTCTTTTGTGGGTCTGATTTTTATTTTGTCATCTGATTTAGATCAGCATCTCAACGAAAATATCATTTTACATGAGTGACATAAATCTTGGAAAAGAATATCATGTTATTTGAACTTTCATATGAGTTTGTTGGACAGAAAAGTTTCATGTTATTTAAACTTTCATTATTTCATCAACGTAAGAAAGCTACATGAGCTGTTCAATGAAACTTATTTACGTGATATTATTTCGTATTATTTGGTATTTTCCCTTTTATTTATTTCTTAATGATCATCTCCTATGCATAAAGAGCAATTAATCCTGTTTTGATGTATATATAATAATGGTTTTTAATGCATGCATGTTTGATATAGGGCGTGGGGAGAAGGAAATATTGAGTGCAGCAAGAGTAATAACCATCATGGAGATGATGACGATGATGATGATGATGATCATCATCATCTTGGGGTTTCAGCCATGAAAATGAAGAAAATAAAAGCAAGAAGGAAAGTAAGGGAACCTAGGTTTTGCTTCAAGACTATGAGCGATGTCGATGTCTTGGACGATGGATACAAATGGAGGAAATATGGGCAGAAAGTTGTCAAGAACACTCAGCATCCCAGGTACACTTTTATATATGTATATACATATATATTTCAAAATTAATCTTTTCAACTTGGATTTTAGCATAATTAGTTGTATCCCATTTACACATGCCATGTTCCCTTTCTCTCTCAGTATCATTATACCTGCTATCATTATTACCATATGCTCTTTTACAGCCTCGGTGCAGGAGATAAGTGCATGGGTAATATATATATATATATATATATATATAAATAATATATATTTCTGCCAAATTTATAATTTTGTTAATTTTAAAAATCAATTAACCCGAAAAGCACAACATACAAACTAATAATTAGCTTCAAAAGATGAAATGCTAAAAAATGAAACAATTTTTCAATTATAATGTTCCATGAAAAGGGAACTTGGATATCTTTTGAACTAAGATAGAAAGTTGTATGTATATGGAACAACGTAAAGCTAGAAACAGAATTGAGCACCGCATATTATTCAATTAACTAGCCCTATACATATATATATTATATGGACTTATTATATATGCATGAAAAGAAAAAGTGAAAGATACCCGAGAGTACTACTGTTTGATGCTAGATAAAATTATTAATCTTGGATTTCCTTTTTTTTTTAACCAGTGTTAGTGAGGAGCTTTACATTTCATTCTCCTACTAGAAAAGTCAGTAAAAGCTCAAATACCCATATGTTCGTATAGTTTGTATACGTATTTTTATTTAATGCTGGGAGAGAAGGCTTTAGGGATAACGTTTGTGCTTGTATGTATATATGTGTGTGTGTGTGTATATATATCACGAGCAGGCTATGGTTATGATTTAAACTGCAGCCTAGTATCTCTTTTGAAACCACCAGGCGTGTAGAGAGAGAGAGAGAGAGAGTGTAGAGTACAGAAACTATGCGTTTTTTGTATGTATAGACACAGTCTACATATGCAAGTACTGTACTTCAAACAGTAATTTCTATTAGAGGATTGTTAGCTTTTAATATTAATAACGTAGTATATACATATATATATCGATAGATAAAATATCCATAAAAAAATATATATATATATATAGGTTAAATATGCACCTCATTTTCTTTAAGGGTTTGTTAATATTATTTTGGTTTAGCAAATGAGTATTACCCTTATACTAAGTCAAAGTAAGCAGGTACATTGTCCCGACTTAGTGAAGAAAATTAGTGTACTATACTAAATATAGTATCTATGTCTAAACAAACTAATTTGAAATTTAATTAGTAGATTTAACTTTCATAGTTTAAAAGTATATATATATATATATAAATTAATTACAAAATAGATTTTATATATTTATAAAAGAATTTTATTATGTCATTTTGAAATGAATAATTTTGACTAATAACCTCAATTATGGGCTGGTATTATATGCATGCACACAGCATCATAATAATACCTATCCAGAAATTTGAATCATTAAATTTTTTTTTTCTTTTTTGTCTTTATTGGTAATCACTAATAATGCTTAAAACTTTGCCGACTCAATCTGATTAGATTCCTGATCTTCAACCCCTTTAATTATGTTATCAATTGTCAACACTAGTGTACAGGAAATACAACTTGTGATATTTAGTTATACATGCACACATAGACAGAGAGAGTAATTCACTGAATATACCATAGACAAAGTACAGTTAAAAACCTTCTGTAATATAGTATGAATATTCTAGTTCAATTTCTATAGATTCTGCGGAAAAAATTTACATTATAGATCGATTTTTTGTGATTTCTTATAGGTTAATTAGGTTTTAAGAAAATATTTTTAGTTGTTTCGCTTTTGTTAGAAGTAAAATGTATAATATTTTTTATCACGAACCAAAGAATCTCTCTTAATCAATCTGGACACCAACATTAAAGAGTATATAAAAATATTTAGAAAATATTTTTAGCCTCCATATATTGGTTTTGTTAGAATATAAAAAATTGGTTCGTTCATTTTCTATTAATTTAAACTTTTAAGATGACTAATTCAGTTAATTATTTAAGGTGTTGTGATAGTTAAAGTTGTAATTTTTATATTCTATACTTTCTATTTTATAAATATGAATTTAACAAAACGCTTGATGCCTGGCGTTAACTACACTTTCACCTAGTAAATT